CTTTCCCCTCTCATAAGGTGAGCTCTTCACCCTCCCCCTCATCCAACAGTGTTTTAATGTCTAGAAACTGGAAATCTTTAGCAGAGATGGTTAAAACAAACAAGAGAGACATGGAAAAGGAGGAGAGAATCCTGGACCAGGAAAGCGCTGGGAGAAAAGGGGCTGGAAATGAGGAAGTCAGAAGACTCAACTGGGAAGAGACCATAGTGATCACTCGCCGGGACTTCCACGATGATTGGAGCCGCATTTTGAGTTATGTGAAAGAACAAACTGAAAGCTCCTACATTATCAATCCTTTTCAGGCGGACAAGGCGCTTATGAAATGCCCCTCGAAAGACTTGGCTTGTCTCCTTCTTACGAATAAGGGGTGGGTTACCTTTGGCCCTGTAACGGTGAAATTGGAAGCTTGGAACCCCCTTCTTCACGGAAGGGCCTTCCTCTTCCCCTCCTACGGTAATTGGGTTAAGATTAGAAACATTCCTTTACATTTATGGAGCTTGGCTACATTTAAGGCGATCGGTAACGCCCTCGGGGGCTTCATTGACTACGATGATAATAATTCATGTTTTATAGAATGTTTTGATGTAGCTATTAAAGTCAAAAGCAATTACTGTGGTTTTATCCCTGCGGAAATCAGTTCGATGGATGGCCCTCTCTGTTTTCAAGCAAAAGTGGTTTCTTTCGAAGATAGTAAATGGCTCGCCAGAAAAGATGTCGGGATTCATGGCGGTTTTTCATCGGAAGCGGCTAGGTCTTTTCATCAAGGAAGTGCAGAGCAGAGTGCCAACTCTATTGACCGTTGGAGATTGGAGAACGGGTGTAATTACCCGGGGGTCAATATACAGTACCCTAACTTTATTCCCTTTAAGTCAGCTCGAAATGGAGGCTCAAAGTTATACTTTAGAGCAACAAGAAGTTTCTTACACGAAAATGCAAAAAGGAGAGAGAGGAAAAAGTGGGACCCAGGATTGACTTTGAAAAGGATAAAGATAAATTGTCTTGGCCTTTGTGCACGGAAAACACAGATGCCCACGTTTCCCGAGGTGACAAGAAAAAGGCAAAAGAAAAAGAAAGAGTAGTTTCTTTCTAAAAAAAAGAGGAAAGGTGTGCTCTATGGAGCCAGATTTTGTGCAGGATACGACTCAGAAGGAAAACGACCTAGAGGGACAGTCAGCCTCATCCATGATTAGCCTAATTGGCACATGCTTTGTTAAACCACCCAAGTTGATTATGTTTCGCCTCTTCCTCGGAGAAAGATGATCAAACAATTCCCAATCGTAAGTAAATTACTCCCAGTTGTTCAATCATTTGATAACCAGAGTCATTCTTGGAATTCTATTTACTCACTTTAAATTGAGTATCCGTTTCCATTTCCTGGTTTTTTTCCACGAAAAGCAAACATGAGATAACAAATCCAGTCTTTCGTTGAAGCGACCCCGTTGGCTGAAAATCAGGGAGATATACCAGAAGGATATTTCGAGAGTATTAGAGAGGAAGAATTAAGGGAAAGGAGGGAGATCTCTCCTGATACAGAAAGGCATCTGGAAAGGGATCGTGAAGAAACCAATTCTCTGGTGAGCTTAGACCTACCTCCAGATCAAGAAGTAGAAGGGGAGGATTCAGAGGAAGATGAGGAGGAATCAGAGCACTTTCCTTTTTCTAGAAAGCTGGTCCGCAATCTGTGGAAGTGTAAGATGTGTATCAGACCCCTTTCTAATAAAGGGAGTGTTTCAACAAAGAAGAAAACTAGAGAAATCACTAACTTGCTCCGGGCGATGGAGAGAGAAATTGAAGAAGAGACCGAAGTAGAAGAGGGATAGACAGGTTCTAAATGAAAATCCTCTCCAGGAATGTTAGAGGTCTTGGTGCTTCCTCCAAAAGAGCACTTGTAAAGTCCCTTCTAGTGAAATTTAATCCAGATGTGGCAATTTTGCAAGAAACAAAGTTGCAGTCTATCGACAGAAAAGTAGTGAAATCTGTTTGGAGCTCTAGGCATTTAGGGTGGGTGGAGCTTGATGCTGTCGGGTCAGCTGGCGGTATTCTTATCATGTGGAACCAAAATTCTGTGAAAGTAGAGGACTCAGTGATAGGTCGGTACTCTATCTCTATTTATGCTAACTTCAATGATAGTTTTTTTGGTTGGTTAACAGGAGTCTATGGGCCTTCTAGTTATAAAGGCAGAGACGATTTTTGGCAGGAGCTGCTGGATCTAAATGGGCTATGTGCGGATAATTGGTGCCTTGGAGGAGATTTTAATGTGGTGAGAAGAATTTTTGAGAAATCCAGTGGGGGAAGAGTCACCTGAAGTATGAAGAATTTCAACCTGTTGATCGATGAGCTGAAGGTGACGGATGTTCCTATGAAGAATGGCTCGTTTACTTGGTCCGATGGTACGGAAAGACCGATAGCCACTCGCATAGACAGATTCTTTCTTTCTCATACTTGGATAGAGGCCTTTAAAGAGGTGGAGCTTATTAGGCTCCCAAGAACGACGTCAGATCATTTTCCTCTTTTCTTAAAGATGGGAAATCAGAAATGGGGTCCTTCCCCTTTTCGTTTTGAGAACATGTGGCTTGGCCATCACTCTTTCAAGGCTTGCGTAGAATCCTGGTGGACCTCCCTTTCTTCTCAAGGCTGGCCGGGATATGCCTTTACAGGAAAGCTGAAAGCTTTGAAAGAGTTATGAAAATAAAATTGAAGCTCTTGACAAATTAGAATTGGAAGGCTTGATTTCTGAAACAGAGAGAAAAGACAAAGTGGAGCACAAGAAGTCTTACTTGAACTTAGTTCTCAGTGAACAAAGGAAATGGGCTAAAAAATGCAAGTTGATGTGGGTTAAAAGAAGGGGATGAGAATTCTAGCTTTTTCCATAGATGGGCGACGACAAGAAAATCCAAATCTTGCATTTCAATGACAGAATCAGATGTAGGGGAGCTTCTTACTTCAGACATGGAGATTGAGCAGGAGATAGTAGGTTACTACGAATGGTTATATGGGCAGACTTCTGGACAACGATTCTTGATTGAGAATGTACAATGGGGAACCCTCGAGGAAAATTGGAAAGATTGGCTTGAAAGGCCTTTTGATATGGAAGAGATTAAGCAAGCGGTTTTCAACCTCGGAAATCTGAAGTCCCCAGGTCCGGATGGCTTCACTAATGAATTCTTAAAAAAGTCGTGGAACATCCTCAAGGGTGATTTGCTAGGGGTGTTCCAAGATTTTTTTAGGAATGGGGTCATCAACTGTCGTACCAATGAGACATATATTTGTTTGATCCCAAAAAAGATAAAGGCTATGAAAGTAGGCTATGAAACAAGGTGGACTGGTCTTACCTTGATGCTGTTTTGGAGCAAAAGGGTTTCGACCGTCGATGGAGGAAATGGGTTAATGGCTGCTTAGCTTCTACGAATTTCTCCATCTTCATTAATGGAAGACTGAGGGGTAAGATTTTTGCTAAGAGAGGGTTGAGACAAGGGGATCCTCCCTCCCCTTTCCTCTTCACGATTGTTGGGGACTCCTTTAGTCGGATGGTCCATTTATGTAGCCAAAGAAGATTAATCAGAGGGTTGGGGGCTGGGAAGAAGGAGGTGGAAGTGTCTCACTTACAATATGCGGATGATACCATGATCTGCCCAAACGACCATGGTATTCTCGAAAATTGGTGGATGGTCCTGGATATTTTCCTCAAAGCATCTGAATTGTCTTTGAATCTAGACAAAACGTCTTTGATAGGGATACATGTGGCAGAAGACATCCTTCAGAATATGGCCAGTAGGTTGGGCTGCAAAGTGGAGAAGCTCCCCGTCTCTTATTTGGGCATCCCTCTGGGGGAATTTTAAGAAGAATTCTTTTTGGCTCCGCTCATCGACAGAGTGAAGAAAAGAATTGAAAAATGGAAGAATCTCCTTCTCTCGAAAGGAGGAAGACTAAATCTTGCCTGGTCAGTGATTACTAGCATTCATATTTACTTCTTCTTGGTCCTAAAAGCTCCGAAAGGAGTTGTTAAATAAATAGAGAGACTGACTAGAAATTTCTTCCGGAATGGGGAACCTCTAAAGGGTTGTGTAACCACCTGGTCAACTGGGGAAAAACCGGCCTCCCCTCGCAGTTTGGCGGTTTGGGCATAGGGGCTTTACAACAACGGAACAACAGCCTTCTTCTCAAGTGGCTATGGAGATTCACTCAAGAACCCCACGCCTTGTGGAGAAGGGTGATTGCAAGCATTTACGGAGAGGACAAACACGGGTGGGGTACTCTCCCTCCCAAAGGGAGTGCTAAAGGTACAAACAGGGACCCGTATAAAATTCTGGATGGATTTATGGATTGGAGAAAGACCCCTAGCTGATGCTTTCCCAGATTTGTTTAATATCTCCACCACGAAAAAGGCCACAGTTGCAGACTGTTGGAATAGCAGTGAGAATGATTGGGATTTGGGCTTCCGTAGAGGCCTTTTTGATTGGGAAGTAGATAGTTGGATGGACCTAATTCATATTATTGACGTGGTGAGAATTGGGGAAGGAGAAGATCGTGTTTCTTGGTCCATTGGAAAAGGAGGAAGCTTCTCCACTCGCTCAGCTCGGCTGAAAATGGTAGAGTGCATTCCCTCTTTAAAGTCCCCCCTCATCTCGACGATTTGGAATTTCAAAGCTCCTAAAAAGATTAAGGTCTTCCTTTGGTCCTTAGCCCATAGAGCCTTAATACTCATGATATGCTTCAGAAAAAGTGTAGGAAATGGCTGATTTCCCCATCAGTGTGCAGTCTGTGTAATGGTGTAATGGGAACAGTGAGAATATAGACCATACTTTTGTTCACTGCAATTTCGCAACAAGAGCTTGGTGTTTTCTTTGTGATATTTTTGGGGTGGCGATTTGCTTCCCAAAAAGAATAGATGATTGGCTTGTGGAAGTTCTTCACGGGTGGTCACTTCCTAAGAAGGCGAGATTTATTTGGAAGTGTGCTTCAAGAGCTCTTTTGTGGCACTTATGGCTAGAAAGGAATTCTCGGGTCTTTGAAGATAGATCTACTCCTTTTGACATTTTTTGTATTTTTTGTAGGAATGTACAGCACACTGCTTCTTGGTGGTGCATTAATTATAGAGAATTCTTTTGTAATCACAACCTTTCCTTGTTCATGAACAATTGGAAAGGGTTCTTTGGATGGGGTTGCCTCTACCCCAACCCTTTGGCTGTATTTTTGTGCTGTCTTTAATGAAAGGTTCTGAATTTCCATATAAAAAAAAATAACAATAATAAATGGAAGGACCATGAATTATTTTAGAATAGTACAAGAAACATCAAACTCATATTGATTACAAATTCAGAAATTTTATTATTAACTTGCTATCTTAGTGTTAATTGGAATAGGAACCATCGCTCCTGATCTTACCATGTCCTGCAGGAAATTCGTGTTGCCAAAGAAACAACATCTCTCCATGTATTTGGACGAACTCCTCCTGTCAAAGCTTGTACTTTCATATTCCCCCAAGAGTGAACAAGCATGGAGTCATAGGTAAGGATTCAATAATTGGTGCAAGTTTGTTCATACTGGTATAGTAACTGTCTGAGGTTGGGTTATTATTACCCTCCAGGTACCATTTGAGGATAGTATAACTAATAAAATGAAACCATAATCCTTTTTTTTTTTATTTTATGGCTTCATTGCTAAAATACAGGCTCCACTTATTTTTCAATGATGAAACGATTTCTCTTTACCCCCCAAATTAGCTGCTGCATTTGGTATATTGGTAGGGTTTTTGTCAAAGTTTTCAAGCCCGTACTATTTAATGATACATAGTGAGTGGGACAAAGTTTTTGAGATGACCAAGTTTTATTGTTCCTCACGGTGTTCCCCCATCTAATTTGTTCTATAATTATTCTCTTTTAGTTCTAATAGGGAATTTTTGTAAGCGTATGTAGGAATTTGATGTTTTGCGTATAACTTTTCACAACCTCAATGAAAAATGAGTTTCCTATCTAAAAGAAGAAAGAAAGAAAAAAAAATTTTACCACTTGGTTGTTGGCAGGCGGTGGGTGATCAAGCTGCTTGTTCAAAAAGGCTATAATGTAGAAGAGATTTTGAAGAAAGAATCTGAGCTAGTGGAAAGAAAAGCTGAGGTTCAAGGACCTGCATATTATTAAAATTTGGAGGTTCACTATAAATTTCTTTGTAAGGATAATTTGTACAACATGCATTCTGTTTATTGCTGTTTCTATGAAGGATTTATTCATAGACTTCATGGTGACCAACTTTGGGACTGCRTGTCCATTAGTTTTTTATTCTAACTTTTAATGTTAATCAAACGTAAAAGTGATCAGCAAGGGTTGGATAAAAAAGCTCATTCAACATAGGATGCTAAAAACTGAATTAAAAAGCCCCCAGAACTTACAGATATATAGCATGAAATTATATCCTTTTCCTGTTAATCCCTACTCAATAATGAAAAAATGCAAAGTTTATTTGAGAACTGCTGCCCATTCGAGGTTAGTTACCTGTGATAAATTGAGCTTAGAAATCTACTTCTGTACGTTGTGGTCCTAGCAGGTGCATTCTACAAGGAAGGTAGAGTCTGCTAACTTTCTTTTTCTTGGATTGCCCCTACATGCTAAATATTCATTGGACGTAGCTGGAAGCACTTACGGTTGCTTTTCTCCCCCTAGTTAGATTGTATTCATTCTTTGAACCCTTGGTTCAGTTCATGCTGTAAACATTATTCTAAACAATCGATTTTAACTGGACTCTTATTACTAGCTTGCTGTAATAATATGAAGTTTGTCTTATCTAAGTTAACTTCACTGTCTTATCCAAGTTAACTTCACTTTGGTGTAGATGTCAAAAATGAATCACCGTGCATGGAACCACCGACGCTGGTTAGTTTCTTACATGTCAAGAGAACAGGTGGGTTTTTCTTCTTTTTTCTTGTTTGACAGTTCTGTTGTAACTTTAAGGCACGGCTGTAGAATTGAGGGTGGTTCTTTCTTCAGATATTAGTCATGCTGTCACCTGAGCTGAAAATGGATAAATTGACTCCTTCAAAGTTGAGAAATGGAAAGAATAATTTATTGGATAGCCAAAAACAATTTTTATGGGAGGGAATTACATGAGCTGGTAACCTGTAAACACATGTAACAACTCTCTATTATTCACAAGTTCAGTATTGTAAGCTACAACATGCACCTTTTGTAGTAATTTTTTGATTATTATCTTTTCCGTGAAGAATGTTTTATGGGCTCAAGTGCATTGTTCTCAAGAGAGAATCTAAAAACCTCCATCTTCAGGTGTTGAATGAACTAAAGGAAACCAGAAAATGGGCAGCGTTGCATGTTGCTGACAATTGTTGCTTCCACTATCGCAGAGTGAGTTCTACCTACTTAAGCCTGATAAAAATTGATTAAATCCTTTGAAAATAAATTAGACGAATGTTCATTATTGCAAGTGTTAAAAGAAATAAATGGAAGATCTATAGTATGGATTCTTCTTCTTCTTCTTTTTTTTTTAACCTAAAACACGATCCAAGTTAATATTATTCACTGCATATTCTAGGAAGCATACTCTAGTACAAATCTAAGCCGGATTTAATACAAAGGCTAGAATCCACTTATAATTTCTCTTTTCAAGGAATGAGAGATGAGAGAGCTGGAACACACTTTTTTCACCAATATTTTCACCTCTCTGAATCGGGAGATCCATCGCCATACGAGACCAGGCCCTTCTTCCCATCTGGGCTACCAGAAGGAGACCTGGACCTATCTCTGATAGTCCTCCTGGGGGATTGCGAATCACATAGTAAATTGCTTAAATTATCTTGAAATGATGCCCGAGTTTTTTCCATTCGCAGCGGCTCATGCTCAAAATGTTAGAGGAATCAACTCGCACAGAATTAAGTTCTGGTCTCAGCATTGACACTTATCGAGTGTGGAAGGTGAGCTTGTTTATTCTTTATCCAACTCTCTCTTAGTCAATGTTCTCTCTATCTAAAACAAACTCTCTCTTCTTCTTCTTCTTTTTTTTTTTAATATAAAAAGAAATGTTCTCTCTATGTGCAATTATAAATCGGCCATGTTGATGCCTTTTCAAATTTTATTATTCGAACTAAAATTGGAAATCTTTTACTGTTTCCTTAAATATAATTTCAATGCTGTTAAATAGCAACATTTTCTTTTGTGTCTACGCCTTTGATGGGTAGATTCTTCTGCACCATCTTTCAGTGACACGGATGTATGTATTCTATTTTGCCTAAAAAACTTCTGAGTTCTATGTCTCTTGGAGTAAATTAGTCCTTGTTTGAGTTGTTTGAATGTTCTCTAGCTTTGTTAGCTTGGGGAGCAGAAAAGAAACAATAAATGAGCCTATAATTAAAAGTTATCTATAAGCGTCCATTCTTGCTGTGTTTGAGATAGATGATCTTTAATTGACTTTATCTGTTTRAAACTGGCTTGTTAATATCTTGCATATTGTTATATTGAAAGGAAGAGCTTGATTGGGATGAAATGCTGATAAAGCGATATATTGGAAGAGAGGTACATGCTTCTCTGTCTCTCTTTTT